CAATACCCGCCCAGCCATAGGGCCTGTTGCTGTGGGATCCTAAAAACTGGAGTTCAAATCGATGTCACAATGAAAGGGCTAGGACTAGGTCTAGACAGCTACGAGCCTTGCCAAAATACACGATTAGGTCGCTATTTGCTGCTCTAAAGCCACAAATTCTCTACTGGGACAATCTGCTTACACTTGCTTTTAAGCACCTTAGGCTTGTCTAGATCTAGCACCCGGAAGGGGTGCATTCTTACGCTTCTTAGTTCCTTTAAAACTATTATTACTTATGACTTTACGCAATTTGTTAAGAAGGCCTCTTACCCCAATCTTCTTCAACGCCTGATCCACGAGCACCATATTATCAAAGGCATTATGGACGGAAGCTCCAAGCTGGGCAAAACTAGATGAAAATATCATCAAATTGCGGAGTTTATAACGTACTTTTTGCATTGATTTATCGCCTCTGTCCTTAGCAACTTCGAGCTATACACCGAAAAGCAATGTTGGCCCGAGCTGTCTCGATTCGAGTCGAGCGGACAAAAAGCGGAAGTGGTAGCCAGAGTCGCAAAAATCGATGTTAAAGTACTGACCCACATCTTCAAATTAGGAAAATAAGGTAGAATCTAGTTCCTCAGAGTTTTCTCGGCGTTCCGCGGAGCTTAAAAACCGTCTTATCAAAGGTGTTTTGCAGAAAAAACCGATTCCGATCGAGGCGATGCCCCAAGCGTCTTACCAGATTAATAAAAGTATGACTATCACTAGATCGAAGTTCTGTTAACGCGTGTTTTTTGTACTTTCTATATTTTGTTAACTAGGCACAGGAAATGACGCGGAAGCGGAAAGCAAACCAGTAGATTTATTAAATCGATGAGAAACGCTTATGAGTTTGATTTCTTCTTGCAAATGGCATTATAGCCACGGACGTTGTCATAAATGTCGTCCCATTTATTGAGATATTTCGAATCGTCGTTATTGTACAGGTTCTGGCGCGTCGTCAAAACCTGGAAGTTTTTCCGTATCATTGTCAATTCTCGACTGTTAGCGGGGATTTTTAGCAGGGGAGAAAATCACTTTTTGCTTTCCCACCTGGATTTCTACCTGTTGATAATATAATATGTATTTTTATAGTGTTGTTAGTTTTAGTAGTTTTTGATAGCCAGAAAGTTATAAAAATATTTCCAAACATTTAAAACGGAAATGCTAAAATGCCATAAAAAACTTTATATTTTGTTCTAGGACCGTAGAGAATCACAGGGAAAAATTTGATTCCCCCGCTAACAGTCTAGAACCTCTCTCACTTTTTACTGTATCTGGTGCTTACAAACCAAGTCCGTTCTGATTATCACTGACATGGACATGCGGTTGCTGTCCATCCTTATTGTCCGGCTCCGTGTAGGCCCAGTGGGTGTAGTCGAATTTGGAGCCGTCAGTCCACGCGAAATCTGTTGCTTTAGGGCCTGTCTGGAAGTAGAAGTCAATAGACCTTTTCGAAAAGTACTACTACCCGATATCCACCAATCCATGTAGCGGCAGTTGTCCAATTAGCATAGTTTAGCTGGATGTCGAGGTAAGTGTCGGCTAGCTCTAAAAAGGTAAGGCTCAAAACTGACAATACGCTTTTTAACAATCGCGTCTTACAAAGATAAAACAAGCTAAAGTTATGCAGTCGTACCTACAACAATGCGATTCTCTTCATCAGAGTGGATCGATGTGAGATCGGCTCCGAATGCTTGACATTCCGCTCGAGCTTGCTGCCAGGTGATGCCGGAGAAGTTGCCGATTCTCTAAAGATTACAACATTCAACATTTATGTCAAAAATCATTAGCTGTAGACAGTTTCTGCACCCCTAGTGCTTTTAAAGGAATCAAAAATTTAGGATCGTCCCTTTTTTGAAAACTACGATTCAATGCGTTGGCGTTACCTTGTAGCAGCTCTTCAACTTGGCCGAGTACAGCCACTCATCATCGCAAGGCGGGCCCTAACAATAGATTTCACAAAAATAGACTAGTAGAATACCTGATCCTGACCCATACAAGCAACCGCATGCTCGCCACCCTCCAGGGTTACCCATTTTTCATCGGTTGTTCGTAGTAGTAGGTATCCGGGGTCCGTGTTTTCTGGAGGTATCGGAAGCCACTACTACGATCACTTACTATCCGCGAAGTTAGTGTACACCGCCGTCGAATTGTCATACCATTCAACGGTTCTGCCATTCCAATACCCGCCCAGCCAGACGTGGACTTGGCCCTGAAGTCGTTTTTAGTTTTGTCGTTTAAAAAAATATTTTTAAGATCCGATAAAAGGGATTTGAAGATACTTACAGTTTGAAAGACTATAGGATATTGATTCTTAATTAATGTAACGACATTAACAGGCAAATAAAACCTTTCCTGTGCTTTTCTCAGGGCTTGATCGACCAGTGCGACGTTGTCAAAAGCGTTGTGAATCGAGGCGTCTGCTTGAGCAAAGCTGGAACATATGGTTTTTTGAAGTGTGAGAAAACATCGTGTTTTCAGATGTGTAAATTATATAACAGGTTCTAACAGTCTGTAAAACCGTAAAATGGTGAAAACTTGCATCCGCGTAACTGAAAGGCAGCCACAAAAGTTATAACCAATTTTTAAAGCCATTATCATCATGAGAATTCCTCACTTTTTGCAATGTGCCATCGCCTGAATATGTGTCCATTTATACGGGCAGACCGAATAGCAGTATTCACCCGAGCTGTCACGCTCTGAATCAAGGGGACAGAAAGCGAAACTTGTCGTGAAAATTAGTGCTAGAAATACGAGCATGATTTTACTATAGCTTACAAATAACTTCCGGCTCTTTACAGCTCCGAAGACGCCTTAAAAGGACCCTTATCAGCACTTTGCAAACTTATCCGGGATTAGATGATTTTCGGTGTTAAGCCCTTCTGTGCGTCGGTATTTTAAGAACGTGGTAATACTCAGATTACAAAAAAAAAACTTTTGACATTTTGCGGTATTGGGACGGAGCTCTACAAGCGGAACGAGTGGGTTTAATGAAAATTAAACGAATGAAAAGAATCCAACCCATGCCGTTACTTGCTTTTGGTAACTATTTTATTTTCCATTGTTTTGAGTTAAAATTGAATGCTTAAAATATTTTTAATGCAACTCCTGTTAAGATCCTTTTAATACAATGATACGTTTTGCAGCAACTAAACGGATGCAAAATCATTACTCATCAGACCACACCCTTTGACTAATTCTTTGCCCCCGCACCGGATTGACCGGTTTGGCTTTTTCTATATTTACAGATAAGAGCCATCCACTCTGCAGGAACTGCTAGGAATTCGGAAACTCAGTCAAACTCTGATTTTCTGCCAAAATGAAAACACAATCGACATTATTGATTGCCGCATTTTTTAGTAGAACTCTAGCTTATTGTCCTAGGGACTCGATCCGAGACGCATCGGGTCAGACTTGTTATTCTGTTTATCCGAACAGGTTGATGAGGCTGGAGGCGATGGGGTATTGCAGGAAGTATGAAAACTTTGTTACCGCAGGCCTTTTGTTTAGTTTTGATCAAACGGGTGCCTCTCTACATAACGCTTTTGATAACATGGCGTTGCGTGATCAGGCGTTGAAGAAAATTGGGGTAGGTGTAGATAAGTGATAGATATGGCATTACGATGATATTCATTGTGTGTTAAATGCTTTTTAATGTGGCTTAAGCATTTTAGCAATTTAAAGATCATAATTCCAACAAAATCAGGGTATTGGTTCGTTTTTCAGGATATTAAAGCGACCGTATGGCTTGGTGGGTATTGGAACGGGACTACCATCCAATGGGACGATAATTCAACGGCTGAATATAATAATTTGATCGATAGTAAGAAACTGTATTCTGGCTCCCAAATCCCGATTAGAAAAAGCGAATTCCGGCTACCTGGTGCTCCGATTATCGGATGGAAAATGGGATATTGCGGAAAGTGGTGGTTTTCCGATCGCTTGTATGGGCCAGGATCAGGTTTTGGAAAAAAATGCAAATTCAGTTAAATTTTAGGGGGCGCCATGTGATGACGAGTGGCTGTACTCGTCGAAGCTGAAGAGTTGCTACAAGGTAAGCCGGCCTTTTGTAGCACTTATCAAAAAAGTCTCTCGTTGCTGTTCTATCAATCTGGACGTCAAGTTCCAAATTTCAGCTAATCGGCGATTTCAATGGTTTCACCTGGGAGACAGCTCGAAATGATTGCATGTCTTTAGGCAGTGATTTGGCATCAATTCACTCTGCTGAAGAACATCGCGTCGTTGTTGGTATGTAATGTGATTAAAGTACTTAGTCATGATTTTCGATCTAGTAAACCGCAATTTTTTTCAGGCCTTGCCGATACCTATGTGCATTTGATGGCCAATGGCGTGATGTTGACAAAAGCTGCGACATGGATTGGAGGAAGAAGGGTAGGTTAAACACGAAAGAGAGTGAGAGCCAGAGAGCGAGCGAAACAGAGAGAGAAAGAGAGAGAGAGATCCCCGTTTCAGACAGGTCCAAACCGCGCCGATTTTGCCTGGTCTGACGGTAGCCCCTTCGACTTTACAAATTGGGCCGGAGGGCAGCCGGACAACTACGGCGGTGATCAGAATTACGTTCAGGTATGGACCTATCTCTTAAATATCTACGTCGTATACTTTTAACGACATGCCATTTAGATCATCACCACCGTGGTCCCAGGCCACTTCGCACCGACCGACGTTTGGTTGAATCGCTGGGATGATACGGCGCATTGGCTAGGATATAATGCGATTTGTAAAAAGGCTGCAAAATATTGATAAAGACATCATGCAGCACTGACAAGGCGTTCAACACGAAAGCAACTATTACAACTAAAAAAAAACAAGGCTTTACAACGGTTCCATGGCTTTCAGCACAGATTTTTCAGGTTTTGTGTAAAAAAGCCGTGAAGTTTTAGCTTGTATTGCTACAACTTCTTCCGTTGATGTCGGGCTGACAACATCTTGAGGCATTTCTATATCCTCAGTTTTTCCCAGCCCAAAAAATGTCGTCGAGCAAAATAAAAATGGCTAATGCTCCCCAGTGGGACCCCCAATTCTATAAAAAATGCACTCAGGGGATGAAAGAATGATTTGGATCGAAAA